ACGGTGCGTTTTTTCTGCGTGCATGAATTAACGTTGGCTTACTTTACCGCAGAAGAATGCGCTCCCACGCTGCTACTTCCATCGCCGCCATACGATAAAAAAAAAAAAAATAGCGGAAAGTTTGAAGTGATTCCTGCTATGTTGTACCAGCAATCACGTAAATAAAAGTGGTGGTCAGCGACAGTATAGACCAGTGTTCCTCAAATGGGGGTTCGCGAAGCATTCTATTAAAGGTCCGCGAAGCCCTGCCTATTCAGTCAAGTCCGGCAATAAGAGTTGCCTTTTCTTTTTTTTTTTTTTTCGGGTTGAGAAGAGATGTTTCAATTTTTGGGCGAGTTTTCTCGATGTGTGTCAATGAGAAGTCTACTTCACCCTAGCCCTTAGTTATATCCACTTATTAAATCATTATTATAATTAACATATACCTTTCCCTTCCCCTCACCACGAAGGGGATCGTCCATCATCTCCGCCGATCCACAAGGGGTTCGCGAAACAAGTAAAACACCTGGTGACTTCGCGTCCGCTCGGTGGCGCCAGTTATGCCACCAGTCCGCGATGAAATCGGTGGAATGTTGGATGCCCATTGCCCGCAGTGGAAAGTGATGATGTGATTGTTTTTATGGAAAACAAAAAAAAAAAGTTCGCGCAAAAAGATTGTCGTTCTAAAACGATCATTCTACGCTGCCCGTGGAAGCGGTGTCGATCGCTTTCTGCCCGTGTATCCTGCTCGCGAGCGGGCAACATAACCATTTTGAAGTCAAACTTCGAGGTTTTACGTGCCAAACCAACCGACGGCCTCCGGCGGCACACTCCAGTGGATGATTAATTTCGACCAGCTGGGAATCTTTTAACGTGCGACAGAAATCTCGGTTACACGCGGCGCCTTCTCCGCAATAAGCCTCGGTCAGATTGCGGGTACCTCGGCCGGGATTCGAACCCGCCACCTCCGTAGGCCGGCGCTTTTGCCTCAAAACCACCGAAGCGACTTTTTTAAATTTTTAATTGGGAGCCATTAAGATTCGTTTTCGAACGGCGCTCTTCCGTGGAGCACTGTCAACTGACAGACCTAGGAAAATTGGCAATGACACGTTGAATTATCTTTGATTTGTTGAAAAAAGCATTCGAGTAAAAGTCCCTCGTACCTTTAACACTGCTCACACATCATACAAAAGATGCAATGTTGATGATGGAGATAGTTTCCCTATACGGTATACCGCAGTTTAATTTCTTGCTGAGCGGGGTACAGAGCAGCAATTCATGAACTGTCCCTCCATCTGCTTCTATCTTCGGGATCCACTTTCCTCTTCTTTTCATATGAATATCAGGGCTGGGTGTCGAATTAGAATATGGCATATCCAGACAAATAGAGAAACTACATTATTTTATTTTTGCTGTCCGATCTATGGCGCATTGTAGTCAGGCAAGAAGTTACTCCACGCGAGCCGGCGTTTATTTTTTATTTAATATTTTAGGAGCGCTTGTTCGATGGCTTGCGCTCGAACTAGTGCTGACGTGACGGGCCCAGCTATGGGAGGCAAACGGGAGAGCCCGTCTACGCAAACTAACTACCGCTATCACTATTGTCTGTGTCACCGTCTTGTAAATAAAAGGGGACACGGACGGAAGTGATAGCGGTAATTTAGAGTATTTAGGAATAGGCGGGACAATTATGTTTCGTATCTCTGTGTGTGTGTGTATGTGTGTGTGCGCGTGTGTGTGCGCGCGCGTGTGTGTGTGTGTGTGCGTGGGTGTGTGTGTTTGTGTTTCCCGGGGGGGGGGGGGGGGGGGGGCCTTTGCCGTGTGATGTTTTTAGTTTTTTTTTTAATGATATCGTGATATGGTAACGGCAGTTCGTTTGCGTTTATTGACTCTCCCTTCCTTTCTCTCCCCCCGCCCCCCGTGTCTGCTACACATAGGTGAGCACGTAACGTTCGAACGAAAGCCATCAGTCAAGCGATGCTCAGAAAAGTGCGCATGCTCGCGCGAGGTTATTCGCCTTCCTGCCTAACTGTACATCATTAAAAAAAAAAAAAAAAAACATACTTTTAGGGTAAGTTATTCTAAACATGAAATGGTTTTACATTACCTTTTTTTTAGCCTGACAAACACTCTGAATTACAGACGTAGGGAACGCTGAAGTGTTTTACCGTGGAATACAGAAATGTCGCTTCTCCATCGAATAGTAGCGTTTCTAGTTCCTATACCGATTAACCGGTTGAATAAATTTAATCGCGATTAAAGCATAAATCGACTAATAGGAAGGTTGATCGCTCGATTCCCCAAGCCGAGAGGCACACTCCGCACACAGAAGGTGGACTGCAGAGACTTCTTAAGCTTGTTACTACACTGTCGCACAAAAACTGCCTTCAGACATCCTCGGAGCACGCATGAAGCTGCTTCTAAGATGCACGAGGCGTGACTGTAGATACTTCAGTCACGATAGCTGCAGTGGAGACTGTCTCTTGTATGATGCAGTCTGACTGCGGCTTCATGGATTACAAAATCGTTTTTCAGGCATATCGGGTCACGCACATGTTCCCTGGAGCATGGCTAATCTCAATTCCGTGCCCTATTTTTCTTCGAGATATGCTCCGATAAACGCCGATTTTGCTTTCCTGTCCGACTCCAAATCACCGACTCCCTGGGGGCGGGAATGAGGGGGGGGGGGGGGGGGGGGGGGGGGGCAACACACGGAACACGTTATATTCCGTTCCTTTTTCTGAACCAGCTTCACATTTCTACTCTCCCTCATACTCGATCATTGCAACCTCCACGAACACGAGTACTCGGAACTCTTCATCACGAGCGATCTTAACTGGATAATGCACATAGACGCACTAACAAAACTGTGGTGTACACGAAGGCGACTAAAATATGCATCGCGCGATACTAAACTTTTTGCCCTATACAACCCTAATCGGGCCCGTGCTTGAATACGCCATAGACCGTTGCAACTCAAGAAGGTATAGGGCAAGGGACAGGAAGGCCGGGGAGGAGGAAGCAGAGGGAATGCTAAAGAGAGGAGGAGGTTTCCCCCTCTCCTTTCCAGCGTTTCGTCTGCTTCCTCCTCCCCGGCCTTTCTTTCCTTAGGCGTATCCCATCTTGAGTTGCAACGGACTATAGTCCTGTCTGGTTTCTCTACCCAAAAACTAATATCCAAAACCTAGGAAAAAGATACAAAAGCGTCCTGTCAGGGTCATAACAAATAAATTTAGCAGGCATGACTCACCCGCAAAACTCAGTCTCAGGCTGGGTCGCGTGCCAGGCTATCTCCTTGAATTTTTTTTTGTTCTACTTGCCGTTGAGGAATGGAACAATTTGCCCAATCATGTAGTCCAAACAAGCTCGCTCTCCCTCCTTGTCAGCGATGGTGGAGTGCTTTTAACGTAACAATACTAATGTTGTTGTTGTTGTTTTACGCATGTATGTTGTTTGCGGTTGTGCATCTGCGATTGTAACTTTTCCAAAAAAATCCTAAAATGAAGATTCTTATTGATAAAGAAATAATAAATATAAAGAAAACTCGGCAGAAATATATTTTTTACTCACATGAGTTATTTGGAGGTTCCAGAACACTACATAATTTGTACCAAAAAAACACGATTATAACAACAGTGCGAGTGTAGTATTTTGAATTCTAAATGCCACGTATTATTTGAAATACCGAGTGTCTCTCGCTGCAGGAAAATAAAAAGCCAGGGCTCGCGGACACTGAAAACCCCTGGGGTGCTATGGAAATGAAGTATAAGCACGTGCAGCCCGTACGCCAAGGCAACTTTGGCAAGCAAGAAATGGTACGTGCCTGTCCATACGTGAGAGTGATCTGAACGATACCGGCTCCACGTTATGGCGACAAGAGCAGAAATGTTTTGTTGCTTACAACTTCTGATGGCTTGAATAGAGAAAGCTGCCATAGCAGAGACGGTCGCGTCCGCGATAGTTGAGTGGCATCTCATCTCACCCGCCCCTTTTTGATACGGCTGGTCGCTTCATTCAGTGCTCTTTGTCCATAGGGTTGTGTAAACATGGATGCGCTAAACGTGAGGTTCGCTCTGCAACTGCATGTGCGACGGTTCCTTGTGGAAATCGTGTCAAGGATTTCAGGGGGGGACGAAAGGCATTCGTAAAGCCTGGTTCACACATTTGCGACTGCCTATGATCGTGTGCTTCAAAACCTCTTAAAATCTCTAGTCGAATACGTTTACTAATAGGAAAGAAAAACCAAAATAGCTTGACAAGGGTCATCCCATATGGTCTGTTACAGGGAAAGAGAGAACAAATTGGCGCCATCTATCGGATAGGTAGGGGTTACTTTATAAATGGCGCCAGCGTGTTTTATCGTCGTGATTACATCCCGGTCGTAAGCAAACGCAAGCGTGTGAACATGCCTTCAGTCTGTGCGACTGAGGGTCCTGCAGAAGACGCGAACAGAGTTGCTTGAGCATCGTCAGCTCACGATTGTCCCACGTCATGATAAGTGGCGAATTCTGTGGGGTAATTACGTGGAGGTGTAGCTACTCTGCGTACCTAAATTGTGTGTATAATAATACATTTCTCACAACTTTTGTTTACTTTGCCCCCAGTTTATCGGAAGTCAAGGAAAAATAACGTATATTTCTGGGGTTACTGAGGGTTAGCAGATTTCGACAGATCCCAATGATGTAGGTCGTCTTCCGTGTTTGTGGTCTCGTCGACGCCTGCCGACAAGGCCTCCCCAGCGAACTCGGCAAGACCACAGACTCCCCGGCGCCGCCGCCGTCCGTCCCGGCGCGCTTCAGAGAGCGGCGCGACCGAGAGCCGATCTGGCATTCAGCGTGGTGCGCGCGCGCACACACACACACATACACTCACACGGCCACGAGGGGCACACGGCGACAGCGGCGGCGGCGGCGAGGGATGCACCGGTCGTCCCTGCAGCGACTCCAGGGCCGTCGATGGCGGCCGGCGATAGCCGGCTGGCCTAGTTGGCATCCGCCGCTCTCAGCGAAACCACACACGCATCCGAGCAGCCCCGGAGAGCGGCCTTTATTTCACCGTCCACCGGCGGCGCAGAAGGGCGACCGCGTCCGCGGGGCGAACCGAAGAAACATCTACAAAAGGTCCTATGTACAGAGCGATTGTCGGGCACCCACTGTCGTTCCGTATATCACACAAAAAGCGTCGTCCCAGGAATAAATAGCGGCCGGGGGCACCCACGGATGTCTGAGGAAGGAAAGCAGTCGCCGACGGTCCCGCGCGCGCGCACTCAAAGCACCTGGAACTTCCAGGCGGCCGTCGCCTTGTCCGCGCTGTACTCGAGACTGCAGTCCGGCGGCGGCGCGGGAGGCGTCCGCGCGCTCAGCGGAGGCCTCTCGCCGGGTTGCCCGTGCAGGGGCGCGTGCACGGGCCCGTGCACGGGACCACCCAGATAGTCCATGCCACCGTAGTAGGGAGACGGGTACTGGCTCGTGCCGTAACAGCCGCTCTGAAGTTGGACTTGCTGCTGTCCCTGTCCTGGACCGCCCTGGGCCGAGGACGACGCCTGCTGCTGCTGGTGGGGTCCGTGGTGCTGATGGTGGTGGTGGTGGTACGAGGACCTCTGGGCGCCCGACATGAGTTCGGCCACGGCAGGTCCGATGGCTGCGGGGCTCCAGATGGACGAGGCGGCTTGTTGTTGGAGCGGGGAGGCCGTCGACGATGACGGGAGGGGCGCCACTAGTGCTGGCGGCTTGTAGGGCGATTCGCCCCGGCTCGAGGAGGTCGGACTCGTCGATGGCGCCGGGCTTTTCGCCTTCTTGGGACGGGGTTTGGAGGATCCGTTCTGCTGCTGCTGTTGCTGCTGCCGACACTTGGCCCGCCGGTTCTTGAACCACACCTGTGGGGCAAAGGAAAATTGGGTTTGGAGGTTATGATCGCCAGTGAGCGGTCCTCCGTGGACCGGAAACCAATCTCTTATAACGTTTTAGCACAGTGTCATATATTGTTATCGTTACAGCCATGACGGTATCGGGTGGGAAACGTACCATGGAAGAACCCGTTTTAGCCAGCCATCGTCTTTTAACGCGCTGCCAAGAAAACAAATAGAGTGAAAGTGATAATCAATGGTGCGGCGGATCGTTACCGATATGTTTCCGGCCTGGTTCTTGCATCTCTGAGGAGACCTCCTCCTCCAACGCCTGCTGACCGCGTCACTTAAACAGTGCCCCGAGTTTTAATCTGAGAATAAGGCGTCGTAAATGAGGAGCGAGGTCTTTACTGCTCTGCCGGCTATAAGCTCATGATCGCAGCGCGACTGATGATCAGAGAAGGCAACTTTGAGCGCCACTGACGCCTCGTGATTAGACACGAGAAAGCTGCATCACAGTTCGGCTTGGAACTCGGTAGCTCGAGCTGGTGTGAGAGCCGAATTAATTAGGCCATTGTACTCATACGACTAGTTGCGAGTATTCCACACTAGATGACCGTATATCAATAAATACATTAATTAATAAATTAATTAATTAATTAATAAATTCAATTTTTAGTTTCCCAATAAGATGGTAGCTGGACAAAAAGCTGCAGGAAGCGCAGCTTGACAAGCCTTTAGCTCCAGGATGGCAGTTCACGTTCAGCGCTTACCTAAACCTGTGAAATAATAACTTCCCTATTTAATTCTGTGTAGACGGGTGTCTTCCGCCGGTAGATAATATCCACATGAAGTCATCAAATGGACAATTATGGCTGAAGTTTGTGTTTAATAAAGATGGTATAATGAATCTGATCGATGCGATACCATGGTAGGCCAGGTTTACGCCACTCTTCACATAGCCATGTGATAGGTGACAGTATCTTTAGTTAAGTTCGATGTTTATAAAAGGGAAAGCTAAGTTGATTTTAGTGCTGCCTTATACGATAATAGGAGTCAGTAATAATGGAGATTAATAACTCTAACAACCTTAAATTGAGTCAAAAGAGCATCTGTGTAATAAAAGTACGACACACTTTCAACCAGTCTTGACTTTCTTTTTTTAGCGTAAAATTTGTGTTTATATTTTGCCGATCAACGGAATTGGCATTGTTACAACAGAAAGAGCTAATTTCATCTTTCGAAAAAAAAAAAAAAATTAGGTGTCTTTAAAGATTATTCTAAAGCGTTTGATCGTATCGATCATATTGAATGTTATGGAGACTGTGGCGTAACACTCGATATTATAAAATCATATCTTAATTTTTGGCAGCAATGTGCTTTAATAAATGGTCAAAATTCTACCGTTCAACTATCATATCTGGAGTACCACAAGGTAGCATCTTAGGTCCTCTTTGATTTAACTTGTATATAAATGATATCGTTAACATCAGTTGGACCCCCTTTCATCATTTATGCTGATGATAAAAGCTCATTTTTTTCAGGCACTGAGATACAGGGGGACTGGTGTATGAAACCAACACCGCATCACACAAGCTATATGAATTAATATGAGCAAAAGTAAGGCGGTCCTTTTCAGACCTAAGAATAGAAATGTAAGTTCCAATTTTAATATAGTTTTTGGCCTCTCTAAAATTGAACTCGTTCAAAATGTGAAACGCTTGGAGTACATTTTAACAACCACATGTCTTGGAATGATGATATTATCAATATAGCTAAAAAAAAAAAACCTTTCAAAAGTGCTGGGCAAATTGTACCAGTTTAAAAATATACTGCCTTGTCGTTTAAAATTTCTCATATATAAAGCTTTTTTTGAACCCCTTTTAAATTGCTGTAGCTTGGTGTGGAGTACTACAACTCTGTCCAACCTAAATAAATTACATATTCTTCAAAAAAAGGCTGATCGCATAATACGAAAAATGTGTCTTTTGATACACACACTCCTCCTCTATTCAAAGAGCTGCATCTGATATCTATTATTGATTCATACGAGTATACCCTTCTCACACGATATAGATCGACCCTTCGATGTAATGAACCATTTTTTACGCGTATTTAAAATTTAACTTTCATTTCAAACCTCATGACGTTAGGAAAAGGAAGCGCTGGAAAATTGCATTAAATCGCACGAACTATGGGTTTCAAATATTAAGCTATAATCTTCCGTCTGTCTTAAATAAAGTTGAAAAACAAAATTTGTCAAACATTGAAAACCTACATCTAAATGAAAATCGAGAACTGTTTTCACAAATAAAAAGTAAATTGTCTTTGTGAGCTGTAAATACATCCATTTTATATATTTGGCTTCCTGTATACATCCAGTCACTAGATGCTGTCGTTCTTTGTGTATAAGGCCAAATCCTTCCTCTATCAGCAAATACAGTATAAAAGTGTTTCATCTTACGTTACTGTTGGTTGTTTTTCCCTGGTTGCCGTTGTTTGTTACCGCGTGCCAATTGTAAGGCTGCAGAGGCCTTGTCAAGTCAAAACTGTTTTGAGTTTTTTCCTCTGCAGCCCACATCACTATCTGATGATGATGTAAATGAAATTGATTGATTGATTGAATGGTGATACGAGGTGATAATACAAGAGTATGACTGTCCAAGACCATTGGAAATAATTCTGACGGGGTGAAAATCGTGCGGTATGGATGTGGTCAACCTCATTCCATGATAATGTGTCCGTAAAAATAACACCAAATATATTGAAGGACTTTACTACCTGAACTGCATCCCCACCTATAGTTATATTTAGGTTAGATTCGAATGTCATGTTCTTAGCCCGGAATAGCATGCATTTAGTTGTCTGTGTAGATTCGTACTTCATTAATTTCTGTCCACAGGTGTAGTTGAGAGAGCACACAATTCGCCGTCTTTTCAATCTCGTCGCACGCACTGCCCTTGAAAAATAATGTAGCCTCATCGGCATAGGCTACGACTGTACAGTGTGGAATACAATGTTCTATAATCATTAGTCCATAAAAAAAATAATGAAGGACCTAGGACACTTCCTTGTTCACTGTTCTTTTGGATGATACTGAATCATTGATTTGAACAAACTTCCTTCGCTCAGACAGGTATATGATTTAGATGATAAGGGTTCTTCACCCCGTATACCGTATTATTATTATTTTTTAATAATACTGCGATTAACTAAGTCAAATGCTTTAGAACGCTAACGTCAACAGTTTGTCTGCGGTGTAATTAATGATTCCACATTTCTGGGGACGTCATAGCCGAATCAGTAGATCTTTCTTTTCTGAAGCCGTGCTGGCAGTCCCATAATATGCTTCCAACCAAGTCCGTTCGCGCGATAGAGAAATAAAGTAGCTTCGCGCATTCGTGGTGAGACACGTGCAAACATCCCGGTGCGGAGGCAGTAAACACGACTATTTCAACACCTTTGGAAAGGAAAATAGCTGACAGATGAGCGGTTTGGGGTTACGTTCTTTTCTCGCGAAACGCGGGCGCCTTCTCAAGAATGATGGGTGAGTAGGCGCGCGCTCTTCTCGAGAAGACCTTTCGCAAAGGCGGGACGAGAAAGCGAGGCTGCCCGACCGTGCTTGTGTCCGGGTGCACCCCGTCAACGAGCGATGCTCACTGGCGCGAAGTCGAGTGGACCCTCGAGCCGCTCGCACGATCGAGCTTCAAGAGTGCCTTTCGCCGAAGGCGATTCGACCACGGAGAAAAGCGAAACGCCACAACATGTAAAAAAAAAAAAAAAAGAAAAAAACTTACTGTTTTTTTTTTTTTTATATTTATCGCCACAATGTTTCCTCTTTTTTTTTTCCGGAATGACGGATTTGTTAACAGTAAGACTATCGACACTGTTTCTTTTTAAGTGTTGCCAATAACTCCGTTTGAAACTTGGAATATGGCATGCTATGCTTGGGGAGATGTATTTAGGTTTCAGTAAATCGTTATCGCAAATTTAACGCCACTCCCGCAACCGCAGTGTTCGGTGTACACCGGCGACTAAGATACTGCATTGCTGAACTCTCTAGATTCATTGTTCCGATTCGTTGTCCGAGCAAAAGAGTCGACACTGAAACAGGAGAAAGAAAGAGAGAGAGAGAGAAAATCATAGACAGGAGTGTGCTGTGCCCGGGAAAACGTTTCCTTGGCACTTTTCTGGCGCCTGAACCTGCTGGTTTGGGAAAGCAAACGGCGGCGCACACAGCAGCAGCATGAACTGAAAGACGCCATTTGGTCCTCGTGAAATGTGCATCGTTATTTTCGTGTCCGTACCTGGACCCTGGACTCCGGCAGGTTGATTTTGAGGGCCACCTCCTCCCTCATGAAGATGTCCGGGTAGCGCGTCTTGCTGAACAGGGCCTCCAGCACGTCCAGCTGAGCACGCGTAAACGTCGTCCTCTCACGACGCTGCTTGCGGGGCGCCGGTCCTGACGCTGCAACAGAGACAACAAGACACGTACGTCATCAGCATCAGCATCGCGCAAGGCCTCGCGTACTGGAACAGAGCCATCTATCTATGCACCGAAAAGGCTACGCCACATAGTCTGGGAATGTCTTAAACACCATCTGCACAGGAAAGAAGAGCTGAACAAAAATTCCCATTGCTCGATGACCAAGGAGACGGCCAGAATGGATCAGTCCAATCAACAGGGCACCACGAGGCAGCACTTGACTCCCTGCCGGACTACAAGTCGGCAACCCCCCCCCCCCCCCGTCCTTCCCCATCCCACCATCCTCCTACCCGGATGACTCAAGTCAAGAGGCGTCGGCGTAATTTTCAACAATAAACATTTATTCCTTCATTCATTCACCAGGCCATATTTTTGGGGGCCACCTCAAGGCGGTGACAATGGCAGGGCACGCACAGATGCTTCGCTTATACACAAAATACAAACCGAAAAAGGTATTACTGTGCTTACGGCTATTGACAGTGAACATGCTTGTTTAGAAACAATGACTTCATGTTCCAAAATTTTAACAATGATTGCACTGCGGTGTGACAATCGCGGTATCTATAGTTCGTGGATGATAGGCTTCACAATAAAGACGCTTGCTTGCAGTTTCCTGGAAGGACAACATGCCTGTCTTGTTCGTTAGGGCTTGTATGATTGATGAATCATTATAGACAGAACCACTTATAGGGCATATGTTACTTGGTTCTTCTCAACATTTCTGGAAAAAAAAAAAAAAAAACAAGTATGTCAAGAAGTAACATTTATGCCCCAGCTACATTAGCATTCTCTCAGCTGTCATTAAGCCAACGATCGTTGGCATCTACCAACAGTCATTGAGCTCAATTAAGTTGTACGGTGTTACACGGTACAAAGGTCTAACAACCTCAGTTGAAAAGCGCGTTAAGGGTCCCAGTTGAAACCGAAACGAAGTGATGCCAATGAATTATATGCACACTTTTCATTCATTATAAACGTTTAATATAAAATAATTGTTGTTTTTGGAGTGAAGAAACGATAATCAGAACGTTATAGACGAATCATTCAAGCAACAGAAAGTCTTATCGGCGCGGACATCACGATGGCTACCCTCGTCGAGCTTTTGCTTCCGCGACGTGCCGTGATTGTTCTAGCGGCAGCTCTGGCCCCGAATCATACCTCTTCGGAGAATATTTGCTGCTACGATACTTTCTGGGTACGTTCCCCGAACCTCCGCAATAATAAGTGCCTCGCTGGCGCTGGCCATGGGCGGCGATGCTACGAACGCCGCTATCTTCAGCTCTATTGGGGCGAATGATCGTCAGCGGCTCAATGACAGTTGGCGCATGCCGTGTAACGCCAGTCGATCGCGATTGAGGCAACTGTCGGTGGCTTATGACAGTTAAGAGCGCTAGTGTGACTAGGGTATTATTCACAAACTGTCCGAACTCTGGAATCCCCCACCTTTCCCCGACACTTCTGAAGTCTCTTCTGGAGTCTGACGGGTTTAGTTCGTTTCTCGTTCCAGTTTGTTGGCGACACTCTTAAAGGCCCTGTCACACTGAGGCAACAGTTGGACAACTCGATGCGGCAACACGGGGAAGTCGTGTTGCCGGCGACCCTGTCACATCGCGGCAAAAACAGTCGGGCAACATGTTGCTGCCGCCCAGCAACCGTGTTGCCCGATATGTTGTCCGACAACCCTGTCACACCGCGCTGACGGCGAGGACAACACGAAGAACACTCCGCCATCTTGATTGTTTACCTTCGTTCGTGTGCGGCGCGGAATCGCTGGAAATGTGACTCTACAAAGTGCTTGTGCGTTCGCAGGGCCGGGAATTACCACGGTATACGACATCAACCGGTGACTGTGATTAAAAAACTTGACACGGGGAGTATTTTCCGCTCTTTATTTTATCGAAATATTCTTTATTCGCTGACAAAGCAGATAGCCCTAACCAAGGTAAGTGACATCACTGATGTATGTTCGGGATTTACGCCACCGTATGAAGTGTGCCTGTCCGGTTCTTTCATGCAATTCCTATTTCTACTGTAAAATTGCGTTATCACCGGCAGTACCCCAAAGCGTCTTTTGTAGCATGGTGTTGAGCTGAACTGACAGTGAGTGCTTCAAAACTGCGACACCGACACCATCGGCCTTCATAACAATTGGTGGAATAAATATTTTTCAAAGCTGTCTACTCGCCTACCGCCTGCTATTTGATCGCTTCATTCCCCCAAAACGTCCTGGGTATTTTTAAAACAAATCAGGTGTCCGGTAGCGGCTGTTTCCAAGTTCCAACCATCAACAATCATGATCAGAGTGGTCATTTTATGCTTCGATTTTTTATTCTCTGGTTTTGTGGATTATTTTTATTATACTTTATTAGCGGGTGAGTAGGCATGCCATTTTATTTCACTACCAGTAATGTGAGCTGGTCCCTCGGGAGTTCTAATTTCAAAACCAGTCTGAAAGTTCACGACCGTAGCTGTGACCATTTCGGAAATCGCTTTCCGTAACTACGCAGCAAAAACATTAATCGAAAATATTTTAGCTGCACGCCGCTCCTAATTATTGTTAAATAACGTTTGCCGAGCCTTTGCTTGAGTAAGACTTTATTGATAGGGCACTAGCTCTACCATCGAAGCTATCTATGTTGTCGTGTTGCCGGCCCGAAATTCGCTCAGCCAGCGATCAGGGCAACACACGTTGTCCAACACAAGTTGCTGCTGTTTTTGTTGCCGAAAGCTGTCATACCGAGGCAACATTTTAGTTGTCGTCCATCTTGTCGTGCTGTTGCCGCGATGTGACAGGTTTGTCGGACAACACGGGGAGCGAGCAACAAGTTGCCCGACTGTTGGACAACGTGTTGTGTTGCTGTTGCCGTCGTGTTGCCTCAGTGTGACAGGGCCTTAAGCCACAACAAGGTCGACTCAGAGAGCTGTGTTTGAGGACGACGACCGACTGCACCACAGCCGCTCACAACCACTAAAGACGACATGGGCAACCAATTAAGTTTTCATAAAACAAGTCTGTAACGCTAATGCAACCAGCCTTCGAAGAGTTCGAAACACGAGCGCTTTTAAGCGGCTCATTAAACGCACGTTCCGCGCCCACTTGTCTGTCCATCGATCCATCGCGATTACGCAAAACCCGCCCCAAAGCAGGGCCCTCCATGGACGCATCGTCCCACACCACGGCGCCGGCCGAAGGCGCCGCCGTGGCTCTCGGCGTTCCGCGGAGCTGTCGATCCTAGTGCGCCTAGATTAAAGAGTGCTTTCAACCGCTGATCGAAGTTTATGGACCGCCTTCGTAATACAAGCTAGTGAGGAGCCGGAGAAACCGTCGATCGTACGCAAGCGTATTCAAACCCCACCCCTGCCCCTTTCGACCTGGATGAGTATTGTGCCTGCTGCGTGCGGTCGTGTGTCACTACTGGGTGGTGCACGTTGAAGACCCCAGGCTAGCGGTTGTACCGCACTGGATCAATTGCTCATCTACAGCAAAGACACCAGACGCCGATCGGGGGCTGATTAACTTTCGCTGTATAAACATAACGCTACTATGATTACTGCAAGCGTCTGCGAAGCTTGAGTCAGCGGCCGTGTTCCAAGATTTACTCGATCTTACTTCAGGGTAAGGATTTCGTACCTTGGCGTTCTAAGACCTACCCGCCACCAGCGTTTTTAGGTCTGTGTTGTCACGTGACACGACCCGCCGAAGTAACTCGGGTCCATTTGGGTAAGATTGGGAGCACAGCCAGCCTCTCCGCGGGTTGCGCCTTAAATTGCCGAAGCTCTCTCCGTGGTTTGAGTTGGTCCCCCTCTTAAAATCTTGGCTCTCCAGTCCCACTAATGATATACAGGCGCCGGCAGGGTGCGAGAAACAGGGTGCTCCCAGCGCGGCCCGACTAATTGCCCCGTTCTGCCCAATGGGACGCGGGTGCCGTGACGGGACCCCTCCTTCGCTCATCAAGGTCTTGGAGCCGAGGCGTGCGCGGAGGGGAGATGATGAGACCCTCGGGGGTCGAGGAACCAGGAGGGAGGGGGGGCATGATGGCGGTGCCAGACACCGTGCAGAGGCGTGATCATGACTCGTGAACGGACGAGGCAGAGGCGTGACTTGCGGCCCCATCGGCCGCCGGTACAACGTCTATTGGAGACGAGATGTTTCGGTGGCGCCCGCTTATGGCTCCTACTCCCGACGTCACGCCCAGGACCATCACTCACGAGCGACGACTCGGATGGTGCGTTTAAAAATCACGGTGGAACCTTGTGAGTCATCGTGCTCTTTGACACAGTCAAAGTTAAGTCTGACATTGCTCATTCCTCCATCGATGAAAGCAGGAGTCATTCTTACAAGCCGAGTGAACGTTTCGCCAATCATGGAAGGCCGACCACAGACGCGTTTGGTCGCGCACGTCGGCCATTAGAATCGAGGGGAGGAGGGTGCGGCCAACAGCTTGCTTTTCAGGAGGCCAGCGCAATGCACAGATGCTGCGCCAACCTTCGGCTAACCTTTCTGCTAAAGAGATGCCCGGTGAACTGGTCCGCTAAAACAACATGAAATAGCAGAAATCGGCATGCCAGGGGACTTTTACCGTCACTGACTCGGCACTTTTTCACGCTAAATGAGCCAGCCTAATGGACGTTTTCCTCAAATGTGCAGCGTCATCCATCTGAAAATAAGTAACGTTTCTGGTGGCTTTAGAAACTTCGAATTAGCTAGTGCGCACGCAGCGTTGCTGCAAACAAGGCGACATCCCTATAGACCAACTCATGTTTACAAACAGGAGCGTCCCCATATAGACGCTACCGGCGCCGCGGATGCGCGATGGAGTGTGCACAAGAAGCTCGCCGTCGCCCATAAACGTACCATTGGAATGCGACGTTGCCGGCGTCGGTGGGAGTCTCCGCGCTCTTTTTGGCACTTGGATTATTGATTCTACGTCTTCCTGGCTATGTTTGACTACATTAGTGGCCTCAGCGAAATTAACGAGGCT